CGAGCGATGGTAGATGCACTTCGACGTGTCGCCCACGCCGGTGCAGCGCGTCGCGAGGGTGATGGCACCCTTGGGGTGGTTGAGGTAGCCTTGCGTTTCGTAGAGCCACGCCCGGTCGTGCAGTTCAGTGGCGGGGCTGATCAGGTCGATGCCCAGCACTTTTTTTCCCTCTCCTGAGTGGTCCCTAAGCCCTTGGGATGGACAAAGGCGATGCACGCACCGAGCAGATCGGTTCAAACTGAAGACAGGAGCGCATTCGCCACCCCCTACGCATCTCCCGATCAGCTCCCGACGCAGGCGCACGCTTGAACTCTGGGCTCGCTCAGAGGCGCGCCGCGCCGCGCGCCAAGGCGGCGCCGAGGCCGGCGCCTTGCTCCCGGCCCGCGGCCGGCACCGCCTCGCCCCACCACTGACCGCCCTGTGGCCCCTGTGCAGGCGTGCCGCAGGCGTCGCTCGAAGCGACGGCCGGGTGTGGGCTGCTCCCTTGCCCCGTCACCCGCCGCGCCCTCGCCCGGCCGCCTCACCGCGCACGGAGCGCTCGGCTGCTCGCCGCCGCCGCCGCGCGTCCCGCGCCGCCACGCTTGCCCTTGCCTTGACGCGCTCTGCGCAAGCAGAGCGCTCGTCTCTGGCACAGACGGAGCAGCGACCGCGCCAGCGGTCGCTGCTCCGCCCCCCCGACGCGCGCGCTGCCGCCGCCGCCGCCGTCGCCGCCTCCTCGCCGTCTCTCCCTCCGTGTGGTGTGTGGTGCGCGCGTGCGCGCGCAGCGCACGGCAGCGTCTCCACCCCTCACGCGCGCGCCCGCGCCGCCGCCGCCCCCGCCCCCGCCGCCGCCCCTGAAGGCGAGGCTGTGGCGACAGCTGGCGTCAGAGCGAGAGCGGAAGGCTAAGCTCCGTCGAGCCGAGCGGCGGCGGCAACGACGGCTCGGAGAGCCCAAGGAGGACGTGGCTGAAGAACCTAAACCGGACGAGTACGACTCGGACGCGGCTCACGAGGGTGATGCTCCGAGGGCGGGTGCCACGCGGGATCCAACATACCGCCTCCCCGAAGGCGCGCACACACGATCGCACTCATCGTTACCCGAGCACTCAGGCTGCCCTGAGCGCTGCCCCTGGCGTGCTGCGGCAGCGCCGCTACGGGTACCGGTGCTGGTGCCCCAGCTGCGCATGGGGAAACCACCCTCCCTCCCCTGCAACACCCTCCCTCCCTCCCTCCCTCCCTCCCCCCGCACCCCCCTCCCTCCCTCCCACCCTTTCCTGTGCGAAGAGAGCGCGTTTAGCCGCCCCGGGGCCCAAAAATCGAATGTGTGAGTCTCGTGTGAGTCTGGGGGCGAGACCGCGAGGTGGCATGAAGGTTGCAGCGAGAATCGGCGAGGGACTGCGAAGGGAGATAGAAAGAGGCAGACGACCAAAGGCGGGCTCCGCAGCCGACGCCTGACCGTCGGAAAGCGAACAGGAGGGAGGACCGGGAGGAGAGGGGAGCCCCTTCGGATGGGGGGTGGGGAGATCGGGCGGAGGGGCCCTGAGTGGCGATGTCGGGTGAGAGAGATTTTTAGCAATACCAAACAACTCTAACACTCACACATCATTTGGGGCCTGGAGCCCTGTTCACGCGCGTTTATGTGAACGCTCGTCCATGCGACCGGCAAAGGCTGGGTCAAGGAGCACAAGGGACAGTACTACGACGCGCTCCATGTCAAGAACGGAATCGTCAAAATTTGTCTCGTCGAAAGGGCGGCATCGCGCCGCCGACCAAGAGAATCATCTTCAACTTCGCCAAAGTGCAAAGAGGTCGGCAGCCCGAGCGCCGTCGACCGCACCGACTACGGCACAGCCTCCGGCAGCGCCCGGGGCTTCGCCCAGCACCACTCGCAACAGCTCTCGCGCGCCGCCGTCTGTGGCGACGCGCAGAAACATCAACAACGCTGCTCGCAACATGCGTGTCGCGCACTCATTCATGACCGGTCTCCAATGTTCCACCCCCCTGCGCGCGCGGGCCTTCTATAGGCCCGCGGGTAGTCTCCCCCCATCCCCAGGGCCTCCAGGGCTCGCACCTCAACCTCTCACAGACCAGCGCACAGCGCTACACGAGGTATTTTCTTCTCAATAACAAGGCTGTGAACGGAGCTTGGTCACTTATCAACCTATCTGTGAACGTGAACGAGAGCGTACGGGGTCCTCTCTTCGCCATGCACAGACGGTGAACCTTCTTTTGTACCAAGGTAGGATTGAGAGCAGCCTCGCTCTCAATCCTAGAAGTCGAAGGATTGTGAGCAGCACTCCTCGCAATCGTAGCATCTCTGCGATTGTGAGCCCTTACGCTCGCAATCCTACATCTTCTAGGACTAAGAGCAGCTCCGCTCACAATGTGACTGGTGACGCCTACGACTACTACCAGCGCGCTCACAATCCGAGCAAACTCTAGGGTTGCGAGCAGCTTAGCTCACAATCCTAGCAACATGCCTTCGATTTCGAGCAAAAGCGCTCGCAATCCTAGAACTTTCGCCGATTGCGAGCGACACCGCCCACAGTCCTACGACTTCTAGGATTGCGAGCGGGTCCCCTCGCAATCGGTGCGATCACTGTTTGGATTGTGAGGAGACCCTCCCGGCGCGCTCACTCACAAGCGCTCGCGGCTGGAGCGATTGGGAGCGCCCTCTGTGCGAGTGCTATAGCAGTCCTTGGATCTTTGGTACGATTGTGAGCGCAGCCGCTCATAGTCCTACAAGATGTAGGATTGCGAACGCTCCTGCTCGCAATCAGAGGCATGTTGCTAGGATTGTGAGCATAAATAAATAAATAAAAACGGACACCTCTCTACTGTGAGATGGGTAAAAAGGAACAGGTCCCCGCCCTTGCGATCTTTGTGCCGGGTTCTTTGTGGGTGTGGTCGGCGACTAGCCGGGGTCGTCCTCCGATGGGGGACTAGCACTAGCCGTCTTCCACATGGTCCCTCGGGTCCCTGCTGCTCCTAATCTCGTCGTACATCCTCCTACTGATCTCCGCAAAGTCCTGCTCCCTCCCTCGTCTCGCCCTGCGCGTTTGCTCCGCCTCCCCGTCGTCTGCCCTGCGTCGTCTGGCGACGGGTCCTCCATAGTCGGTCGAGGTCGCCGCCCTCCTCGTGCCTCTTCCCAGCGTTCCCTCGGCGGCCGATGCCGTCTGCTCCGGCTCCCCAGTCCCCGGTTCTGCCCTGCTCTCGTCTGCGCTAGTTTCTGCTTCGTCATCACTGGCGCCGATTGTGAGCAGTGCTGCTCGCAACCCTAGAGTTTGCTCGGATTGTGAGCGCGCTGGTAGTAGTCGTGGGCGTCACCAGTCATTTTGTGAGCGGAGCTGCTCTTAGTCCTAGAAGATGTAGGATTGCGAGCGTAAGGGCTCACAATCGCAGAGAGATGCTACGATTGCGAGGAGTGCTGCTCACAATCCTTGCTTCGACTTCTAGGATTGAGAGCGAGGCTGCTCTCAATCCTAGCCTGGTACAAAAGAAGGTTCACCTGCACAGACCAGCGTTGCGTTTTTCTCACACCACGTGCCTCTTGACATCCGTTCTTGAAAAAGTGGGTGGGTGGGTAAAGGCTTCGTAGGCCCCGGATGGTGATGGGTGGGTGGGTGGTGGGTGGGTGGGTGGGTGGGTGAGTGGGTGGGTGAGTGGGTGGGTGAGTGGGTGGGTGGGTGGGTGGGTGGTGGGTTGGGGTGGGTTTGTTTGGTCGTTTCTCTCTCCCCTCGCGCGCGTCTTCGAGGGCACAGCTCTCGTCGTTGCCACAGCATGTCGTTCCTCGCACCGTGCCCACGTGACGGCACCAGCTGACCGAGATCGCGCTCCCCGACGGCTGCCGCGTGCTTTACGGGCGGCTTACGGCGCGCTCAACAAGTCCTCCGAGGGCGGACTGCTGTTACGCTCGACGAGTGCGACGCCGCTCGACCAGCTCGAGGGGTTCAAACGCGAGGCGACCATCGTCTCCGCCGAGCTCGACGACGAGGCGGCCGTTATTATCTGACTCCTGTCCTCGGGAGGGCGGCGGCTGCGGAGTAGGGGCGGCGGCGAGCTCCCGGTTGCAAATACTCGCCTCACGGTCCAAGATGGCGGCTCGCGCCCCCGACCGTGCACCAGCATGCCTCTCTAGTGCCAGTAGTCTAGTCCCGCCTGCCACCAAGATACCGAGAGCTGGGCGCACTCATTGGGCTATTATCTGCCCTCGGGAGGGCGGCGGCGGCGTGTAGGGGCGGCGGCGAGCTCCAGGTTGCAAATACTCGCCTCCACGGTTCCAAGATGGCGGCTCACACGCCCAACCATGCTCTGGTGCGTCGATTGGGTCGCGTCTGCTGCCCGTGTCTCTGTCTTATCGGCGCGACGACAACAAGCTACCCCTACCCCTAAGCCTAAGCCTAACCCTAACCCCAACCCTAACCCTACGAACCCTAACCCTAACCGGAAGAACTCGGAGCATTCACCGAGAGCTCGCGTCAACGGACCGCTGGTACCTGGTTCCTCCATTCCGACCCGAGGCGGCCCGTTCTTAGGAGCTGCACAACGGCTTGAACTCTCTGACCCTAACCCTAACCCTAACCCTAACCCTAACCCTAACCCTAACCCTCGGCTGTGGGTCAGGCTGTGCTGTATAAGGCGCGCGAGGCTGGGTGGGTGCTTTGCTACCTTGCTTGTGTCTCCCGTGGCCGATGGTTGGTTGGGTGGTGGGGGTGGGTCGGTCGGTGTGGGTGGGTTTCCTCGCCCTATCAGCCGGGCCGTGAGGTGGGTGGGGCCGGGCGGGGTTGGGTGGGTGGTTCGCTGGTTCCAAGCAAGCCCCATCCAGGCCGTGAGGTGGGTGGGGTGGGTAGGTAGGTGGGTGGTTCCAAGCCTCAGCCGGGCCGTGAGGTGGGTGGGTGGGTGGGTGATTCAAGAAGCTCGTGCACGTGAACGGATGTCAAGCATGTGGGAAAAAAAACACAACGCACGATTCGCCCGAGGGAGGGGGAGCTTGCTCACAGTTTGCCCTTTGCTGCCTTCCCGGGCAAACGCATGACGGCCTCCAATGGAAAATGGCAGTCCACTCTTCGCAGCGGCCTCGCCCGCTGGTGCACCACCGTCGGCAGCTGCTCTGTCCACGGCGTCCACGTGGAGCGACTGCGACCGAGCTGCCCGCTGCTCCTGCTCAGTGGTGCGACGCCGGGCCCGTTCTACCACTCGCACCCGCACGATCCGTCGCAGTTCGACCACCTCCACTTCGACATGGCGAGCCAAGTGAGGGCCAACCTCAAAACGGTCCGCGACATCTTGGACGCGCTTGGAGATGCTGAACTTCCGTTTCACCTCGATGGCGGGTGCATCGAGCGCAGCCGTCGCCACGCGCAGCTGCTGCACTGGGTGAGCAACCGCGGCCAGGGCTTCGCCGCCAACGCACGCGTAACGGCAGACATCTCGCGCGCCGCTTGCAAGGAGCTGGGCATGGGCCTCGCCACTACGCTCGCCACGTTCGAGACTTCAGGCAACGTCTCGGACCGGCGCTCCCTGCTCGAGTTAGAGACCATTTGCCAAGAGGTCTGGTTCCAGATACCAGTGCCGACATCAGAACTGTAGGCGCTTCCTGATCGAGACTTTTGCCATGTTTGGCCTCGAAGGGGCCGAGCTTGGCCAGACCGCCGAGACGGCGAGAGCCGAGACTAGCCGAGACTAGCAGCCGAGACTGGCGGCGAGGAATATGACTTCGATGCGTTTAGTCATTGGCTACTCATCCTGGATCAGGTGCGGGTGGATCTCGTCTCGCAGTTCGACGCCGTCGACGAGGAGAGCAGCATATACTCGGTCGGAGGTCAGAGGCACTTCATGCCATACGTGCCGGCGTACGCCGTCTGCGGACCGGCGGACCTCGCTCTCTTCTCGCCTGCTGATACAGATTAGCTAATCAATAGTAATGAATGGTTTAATATTCGCCAGATAGGCGGACCTCGCCCTCTTCTCGCTCTCCGCCGCGTCCGGCGAGAGATCCGCGCCTCGCTCGGGAGAGGAGCAGGTACATCTCGCCATCGACAAGCTACTGCGCGTGCTCTCCACCCTCGGCGCGACCTTCGACGGCGTGGCGCTGCTCTGGAACCGCGTCGCTGACCTCGACGCGCACGAGGAGGCCGTGCTGATGAGCCGCGCGAGGTGGACGGGCCTCGCTCTACCCTGTCGCCTTACATACCGCCAAATCACTAGTCCGTAATCATCAATCACAGGAGGGGCCTCACCCGCCCTCTGGCAGAGGCGGTGCTCGAGGTGGCCGCCGCGGTGCTCGAGGCGCCAATAAATTAAATCCCAAAAGTTAGCGTTTGATGGGATCTTGACTAGGTGGCCGACGCGGACCCGAACTCGCATGCGCCCGACGGCACGCCACTCGCCATCGAGTACATCGTGGTGGCTCAAGTGCCAAGAAGAAGAGCCGGGTCCGACTGATATTAGACGTGTGGTTCTTCCTGGTTCCTGCGTCCTCGGCTTAACGGCTACGGGCCTCGTTGATCGGGCGGCGGCGAAGACGCCTAGTGTGTCTACACTGCGCGAGTCCGAGCCTGTGGCTGTTCTTCACAGCCCGCAAGCTCGTGTATTTCTCTTACTGTGACGTACTGACGTAGTCGTAGAGACCCTGGGAAGGGGGAAAGCTCCGACGTCACACCCTGCCGAACCGGTGAGCGGTGTGGCGACACTCGCAACAGACAGATGGTGCAGAAAGACACGCCGTTGTATCATGGGGAACGCGGTGTGTCTGCGGCGGGCCGCACCACCACCCTTGGCAGCACAAAGCTGCGCCAGAGGTCCACCAGCCCCGGCGCCGCCCCCTCGCCGTCGAAGCGCTCCTCGTCCCACGCGATCAGGTAGCCCAGCCGCATCACCGCGACCGCCCACTTGCGAGCCGCCTCCGGGAAGAGCTCGTGCGACTGCGGCGACCACTCCGCCGCCTTGACGATGAGCCTGCCCACCTCCACCGCCGCGGCCGCTGGCTCCAGGTTGGCCGGCCTGAGGAAGGGCAGAGGCGTGGGGCGTGTCCAAAGCGAGGATCCGGCGAGTGGGGGAGGGACCATAGCGCGCCTCAGTGCGAGGGCCTTGGCCTCGCCCGCCACGCGCACGCCGAAGCGTCCCGTCGAAGCGCTCGCGGAGACGACGACGCCGACCTTGCCGTTCATCGACGGCCGCGAGACCAGAGAGTGGATTGCGACGGTGGAGCCGACGGCCGCAGCGGTCGGATCCGACTCGCCCCACGAACAGAGGACGCGCGCCCGCTCGAGGGCCGACGGCTCGCCGGCCGAAGTGTCCGCGCCGCCGCGCAGCAGCGCCCGCGCCCGGTCGACGGTGAGCGCCTGCGGGAAGAGGGACAGTGAGCGTGAGGACAATGCACTCACGCTTCTTCAGCCGCTAGTCTCGGGGCACGCCTCGAGGTGCTGGAGCGGCGTCCAGCCGCGGCTGGCGACCAGCCAGGCGGCGAGGTCGGCGTGGCCTTGGAAGTTCGTGACCTCCTCGGGCGTGCCAAGGGGCGTAGCGGCGCGGGAGGCGCCGTAGGAGGAGAGGAGCTTGGCAACCTCGAGGTGGCCCTGGTAGCACGCTATGAACAGCGGCGTGGCGCCGGTGTTGCGGGCTTGGCCGACCGCTGCGCCAGCCTCGAGGAGCAGCCGGGCGATCTCGACGTGGCCCATCAGGCACGCGATGTACAGCGGCGTGGCGCCATCCGCTGCGGCTTGGTTGACCGCCGCGCCCGCCTCGAGAAGCAGCTGGGCGATGTCGAGGTGGTTGTTGTGGCATGCCATGAACAGCGGCGTGGCGCCGTCCTCCTTGGCTTGGTTGACCACCGCGCTGGCCTCGAGGAGCAGCCGGACGATCTCGACGTGGCCCTGCTGGCTCGCGATGTGCAGCGGCGTGAAGCCGCCATCCGCAGCTTGGCCGACCGCCGCGCCAGCCTCGAGGAGCAACCGGACGATCTCGAGGTGGCCGTTCTGGCACGCGATGAACAGCGGCGTGCAGCCGTTGCTCGTCGCTTGGCCGACCGCCGCGCTGGCCTCGAGGAGCGCCCGGACGATCTCGAGGTGGGCCTGCCGGCACGCGAGGAACAGCGCGGACGCGTCGCGGCCGTTCGTCACCCCGACGCTCGCGCCGCCCTTGAGCAGCAGCCGCACCGCCTCGGCCTGCCCGTGACGAGCGGCCCAGGTGAGCAGCGTGTCCTGATTCTCGGTGTCGAGCCGCGCGTCAAGCTGGGCCGTGAGCGACGTGCCGCGCGTCCCCCACCCGGAGAGGAGGGCGCGCAGCGAGCCCAGGTCGCCCACCGCTAGGTCGGGCAACAGAGTTGGGCTCGCGGCGCTCATGCCGCCAGAAAGAAGAAAGACCCAGAAAGAAAAAACCCGAAAGTCATGCACATGGCGCGGAGCAGCCCCGGGTTGGTGTCGAGCATTCTGAAGCGCGCCGGCAGGCTGCTCGGAGAGCCAGTCTATCTGTTCGCAGTTCGGGGATGACGTCAAGGACTCATAGTCTGAGGGTTCCTAAAAGTTCGGCCGATTTGGGTCAAAACGCTAAAAGCACGCCTAGGCGTAGAGTTGGGGCAAAACGACAAAAGTGGGCCCGCCCGGGGCAAAATGGTAAAAGTCGCGCGCCGCAGGCGCGCAAAAATTTTGCGAGGGGCGCTTTCGAGGCGAGCAGCACAGCATGTTTCTAGCCATAGTGTGCGGGAACTACTCAACTACTTCGCGCGGGACAATAGCTACTACTTACTGCACCTCCGGCGCGCGGAGCCTCCGGCCCGGAGCGCCGAATTTTTTTTGAGACGAAATGCTAAAAGTTAGGCGCTCCGAGACGATCGAAGTGATAAAAGTCGCACTCTCCCCTGACCCGATCAAAAGTCTAAAAGCACCCGAGGCTCCAGAAACCTAACCCTCAGACTATGCAAGGACTATTTCAATCATTTCCCGATCGCCCCGGAGGAACGGCCCCGCCAGACACACTCTCAGCAAGGTCCGGGTGCATAATGCGCCGTGAGAGTCACACCAGACACACAAAATCACACGCGCAAAACGTCCATAATCTGGGCACGGCACAGCGGGCAGCGACCGCTAGCCAGCCGGGCCGCGCACGCGTGGCACAGCGCCACGTGGCCGCACGGCTGCAGCCGCGTGTTGATGCGCCGGTCGAAGCAGACGCAGCACTCATTCGCCTCATCCGCGGCGTCGCCCTCCTCGTCGCCCGGGGCGGGCGAGGGCAGCACGACGGGCCACAAGTGCCAGGTGCCGTCGAAATCGCCGAGCGCATGCCGGATCGACCACTCTCCGCGCACGCCGCCGCTGAGGGAGGGCTGCCTGGTGTATGCATGCACAGGCAATCAAGGGCATCATGCGGAGAACGCAAGGCATCGCGTGAGCACCTGCAAGACAGTCGAGTGCGTGTCTTCGCGAGCGGGAGTCGAATGCAGGGGCCAGTACTCCGCATCTACGGAACGGCCGCCCGCCCACCCGCCGCGCAGCCTACAGCAAAACGTCCACCGACCCCCGGTTTACCGCGGAGACACCCGCCCCCCTTCCGGCGCGCCGCTCGGTGCCTCCCCGCGGTACTCGACAGCGTGGCCGTGGTTCTCCTACCGAAACAAGGGCGGTCGAATGGGCGAGCGGTTTGCTGCTGTCCGTCTAGTGGTGAGCCGCTCCTCCGAGACGCGCCCTGCCGCGGTGAGCGAGCCGCCCTCGTACCGCTTGGTTAGGGCGACGCGGCCGCTCGCCTGCAGCGAGGTCCCGAGCAGCCTCGCGGAGGACTCTCGTGAGCAATGCCTCGCCGCCGACCTTGCCCGGCTCGCCTGCAGGAAGGCTCCGAGCAGGCTCCGAGAAACGGATTCCGATGGCCAGGGCGAGGCGCCAGTTCGCCGAGGCGCGGCCGCGGAGCTGGTAGGCGCCCACGCCGTCCCTCCCGCTCCCGTGCACCTCTCCGCCGCGCTCAAAGTGCAGCGTAAACTCGACCACACCGCACTGCCGCGTGCCGACCGTGTAGTAGCCGCGCCTGTGAGAAGCAGCTCCGAGAAAGGTCAGGGGCTCCGCGAGGGAAGCCGCGACCACGTAGCAGCCGCGCGCCAACGCCCGCTGGGGTAGATGGCGGCGTCCGCGCTCTGAGCCGCCGCAACGCTCCCGAGGAACTCGTCTACCGTGGGTGGTGGCCGGCGGCGGAGGCGCCAGGGTCGACGCCGCAAGAGCAGCCAGCCCGTCGAGGCCGCCGCCGAGAGGGAGGCGACGAGCTGCATCCACGAGAAGCGGCAGCCGCCGTTCGGCTGCCGCGTGTAGAGGAGCCGGCACGCGTCGCAGCCGGCCGCCGTCTGGTTGCGGCAGACCCTGCAGCCAGGGCTGCACGCGAGGCAGCCCTCCTCCGCTGCCGAGAGAAAGTACCCGCTCTCGCAGGCGTCGCACCGTCCTGGGCCGGCGTCGTCGCAGGCGGAGCAGTGCGCCCCGCACGGCTCGCACGTGCATCCCACGCGCACGTAGGCGTACTGGCACGAGGCGCAGCAGTGAGGGCTCGAGCAGACGCTGCAACCGACCACGAAGCAGTCTGGCGTATCATCCTCCGTGTTGTCACCGCCGCCGCCGCCGTCGCCGCCGCTCGGTATGCCCTGGGCGACGGTCGCGAGCAGGAAGGATGTCAGAAGGGCGTGAGAGAGAATGGTGAAACCGTCTCGTAGAAAGCGTGGCCGGCGGCGCGGCCAGCACGCTGGCTCGTAGTGGACTGCCGCGGCGACTTTTTTCGGTGTCCTTCGAATACGGTACTTTCGTTTACCCACATTGTGAGTATCCTCTGCCAGTTTGTCTTCATGGTCGCCCCCACCCACCCCATCTCCTACCAGCTACCTACCCACCCCATCTCCTACCTACGGGGCCTCAAAAAGATTTAATTACTTCCGGCTTGAATGTGAGCTTCCTGTGATCCTTAGGGGACACCAGAGCCAGCATCATCGGTGGAGGTACAAGTGTTCGAAGAGATGAGAGTGGACCTGAGCAACGATAATTCGATATGACTGGGCGGCAAATGATCGCAGTGGGCGTCAGAAGAGTCGTCCTTGCGCGGAGGAGAGCTCGATAAACTCGAGGGGCCAAAATATGCCGCGAGGAGGGCAGAGTTGCGCCGAAAGGCGGGAGAAGCCGCGAGAGCAAGGGATCGGCAGGCGGCGGCGGCGTCGCCGGACGAGGCAGACGAGAGCGACGCGACAGAGGAGGAAGCGACAGGAGGGAGAACGACGAGAGTGGGACGACCGCGAGGTGGCATGAAGGTTGCAGCGAGAATCGGCGAGGGACTGCGAAGGGAGATAGAAAGAGGCAGACGACCAAGGGTTAGGGTGGGCGACGGCTAGCACCACACTCCTCTCCTTAAAATCCCTGTGTGGTGGCGGCGTGCCGTCTCCTCCCTTGGGTTGTCAAATAAATAAATAAAAACGGACACCTCTACTGTGAGCGATGGGGTAAAAAGGAACAGGTCCCCGCCCTGCCACTCGTGGTGTGAGTCGTGTCCTGTTTTCCTTCTTTCTTTCTTTTCGCCTGATCCTGTGTACTGGGCTGCTGGGTTTTTAGGCATTGTGGGGTTGGCACTCCCATCGACCCTCATGACCTCCTGCGGTCTCTGAGATGGACACCAGTGGGTGTGGGACCACAGCCAGGTTACACTCGAAGGCTGGGTAAGCAGTAGAGGTCGATACTCGACGCGTCCCACATGGTCTGTGTCGCTGTCGGCACGCTGTCGACAGGACGTCGAGCGACACCGGTGGCAGTGCCACCCAGGAGTGGTCGGGCGGTCTCCCGTCATGAGAGAGCCACCATGTGATCCGTATGATGGTTCCTGACAACCGCCTTAGTCAACTTTCGTCACAATTCCCGCTCTGAGAGGAGCTGCGGGTCAGCTCGACAGCTGGAGCTGTGTCGCCAGCGTGCGGCGGCCTGCCTCCGGAGGTGCCTCTGAGGTGGACATTTTTTGGTCACCGTGAGAGAACGCGTTCGAATTTTCACTCCGGAACTTCAACTCCGCACGCGCACCGGCCAGGGCTACAATAGTGCCAGTGAGGCGGAGGCGCGAGTCGGAAGGCCGCGACCGTGAGATTTGGTCCCTCATTTTACCTACAATCGCTGTGAACCCAGCCACGTATGTTCATTTGCGCGATTTTTGGCATTTGGCTCCTCCGTTCTCTCGTCTCTCGCTCTCTCCCTCTTTGTTTATTCGTTGGGCCCCTCGGACTCTTGCTTGGACCTGGTTGGCTAGTAGCGGCACGCCGGACAGCTGCATGGGGGGCACCACCCTTGCGCCCCCGCCGTGGGGTCAGTCAAACGGCCCGCACACCTCGCGCGCGAGCGCTCCCTCCTCGCCTACTCGCAGGAGGAGAGGCTAAAGTTCCGCACCCCTCCCGCACCCCGCACCACGGCCCCCGCGGCCCCACCGTCCAGCCGCTCGGCGAGCTCCTCTTTGGTCAGCCACGCGTGCCTACCAGCAAACGCCTGCGGCGGTGATGCCGTGCTCGCAGCCGTTGAGTCACCGCCTCGGCCTGCGCGGCGAGCCACGCCACGCCCTTCGGCTGTAGCTCGACTGCATCTCGGCTGCATCTCGGCTGCATCTCGTCTGCATCTCGTCTGCATCTCGCCCTTCGGCGCCCGCGCCCGGCTCCACCTCGCCCGCGACGTACTGCAGCCTCCAAAAGAAAGTAGCGGCCTCGCCGGCCGGCAAATGCGCCAGCGGCGCGTTGCCCACCCAATGGAGCTGGAGCGACGCGCCTACGGAGGCCACCGCGCCATTTCCTCCCGAGGGCGCGCCCGCGCCCGCTCCCGCGCCGGACTAGCACTGGCCGGACTAGCCGGACTAGCCGGACTAGCCGGACTAGCTGCGCGCGCCGCAGCTGGCAGAGAGGTGTTCTCCGAGGCACTGACGGACAGTCGGCGCCTGCGAGGCGAGGCGCAAGAGCAGCTGAGAGCGGAGGGCGCTCGTCCGAGGGTCGGAGCGAGGAGTTGGCGGGCGGCCGCCGCCTCGGCGCCGCCGCTCCAGTCCACCTGAAGGGGCGAGGGCGTGTGGTTCGGTGACGTATTGGCTCAAGCTATCTCAGGCGAGTCTATGGTCGATGGCCGAAGTGGAAGGGCCCCCCTGCCTCCGGAGCGCCAGGCCGTCCGTGTCCGACACGGGACGTCGGGCCCGACAGTCCGCGACAGTCCGCACGCGCTGCACAGTGCGAGCGCATCGACGTGCTCGCGGGAGGGGGAGGTGGGAGGGGTGGTGGAAGAAGTGGGAGTGGTGTGGTCAGGCCCCAGGCGAGGCGCGTGGCGCGTGGGCCGCCCCTCTCACACCTGAGGCAGCCGCCAAGCGCCGCCCTCGCGCAGCACGAGGTAGAGCCGGTGAGCCAGCTTGCGGTCGAGGGACGTCTCATCCCCCGTCCGGTCCCCCTCCCCCTCGCGCGCGCCCTCGGACTCGATGATTGCCGCCGCGCGCAGCCGCGCCTGCCTCCGGTCGGGCCGTGAGAGCGGTGAACAAAGAAAAAGAAATCCGCGGCGCGCAGCCGCGCCTGCCTCCGGTCGGGACCCTCCTGCGCCACCGTCAGCTGCTCGGGGTAGACCTTGGAGAGGTGCGCGGCGAGCCTGCAGCCGAGGGTCGGGCGAGGGTTCGCGCAGGGTTGGCGGCCGTGCAGGGGCAGCCGTGGAACCGGAAGAGGCGGAGGGTTGGGAAGGCGAGGGCCGCGGCCGAGTGCTGCCGCCGCAGCGGCAACGGCGCTCGCGCTCCTTGCGCGGCAAGAGTGCAGCGCGCGCCGATTGCGGGCTATGGTGAGCGGACCCGGCTCGGTGGGGCTGGGTGAGCCGGCGCGCCTCTCGCGCAGCTCGAGCGACTCCCGTTTCCAGGCGGGCAGCTCCGGTGTCACCACAGGTATCCGCTCGACGAGAGCCGCGAGGCGCGCAGAGCTTGCATATCGCCGAGTCAAGTTGGCGTTTGGCGGGGCGGCAGCGCGTCGGGGCGGGCGAAGAAAACGCATCTGCATGGACCGCGCGCCCGAGCAGCGGAACGGAAAGTTTTTTTCGGACCTTGAGTCGGGCAGCTGGGGTCGGGGTGTGTGTGAGTGTGTGGGGGGGGGGAGGGGGGGCTCGAGGCGCCAGACGCTGTGTTGCCCTTGAGCTAGTCCTTCCCCGGTCGCCTAGCCTCCGCGCTGTCTGGCGAACGCCTGTATGCCATGCGCGCGGACAAACCCGCACGGACGGGGAAGCAAGCAAGCTTCACGGGTTCGAGTCGTCAAACATTAAGCAGCGGAGGTGTGCCGAGGGGGACCGGGAGGCGGTAAGCCGTCGTCGCCCGGCGCTGCTTGCACGTTGCAGCACCATGACGATGGCGCTATAAGAGGTTCCTCTTTTCCGCGCCCCCCCCCCCCCCCGCAAGGCGCGCGATACACGACCAACCAACCAACACAGTGACTGAGGGCCAGTGAGGGCGAGCCCTCGCTGGTCACAGCTGTGGGCAGCCACACAGTACGCTGTCTGTGTCAACTGTGCAAAGTGTGAAAAGAAGTCAGAGTGTGTGAGCAGCAGAGGAGCTGCACTCCAGGCTTCTGTCTGTCGTAACGAGCTGCATGCCACCGAAGGCGCTGTGTCGAGGTTCGACGCGCCGAGCGGCGCAGGTTGGAGGAAGCCGCCGCCGACGAGCGTAGAGCGTCGGATTCACTCGCCGCGGGGACACGGCCCATACATAGGCATAGCCGTGGCCGTGTCCCCGTCTCAGCGGCGAGGCGCGGGACTAGGGTTGCCTAACGTTAAGAGCTGAACAGTGTTGCTAGTGTTAACAGTAACAACAGAACAACAGTGGGGCTCCCCAACAACAGTAGCTAACGTTAGGCCCACTGAACAACAGTAAGGATGGCCTGGCAGTGACCCACGACGATCTCTAGATCGCGTTTTTTTTCGAGCTCAGACGGCAGCGAGCGACTTGTGCCTGCAGCCGTAACTCGGCCTCTGTCCAGTGCGGGTAATACCCGGGGTTTTGCCATTTTCTGCTTGCTCCGCTGAACAACAGTAACAACAGTAACAAACAGTAACAGCACGGGCTGGGGTGAACACTTGAACAACGTTGAGGAGATTTCAGCCAACAATAGTGCAACTGTTAGACCCAAAGTTGCGTTGGCACCCCCCTACGCGGGACCGTCACACAGGCGAAGTGGGTCGCGTCCTCCGATTTCCTCAACTCAGGGCCCGTGTGGGGGCTGGCCTCCGAGTCAGACTCCGAGTTCGTGTTTTGGGTTCAAGGGGTGTGGTGGTGGACCGGACGCCGCGTTGAGCTCCTACGATATCGGGTGACAGGGGGGAAGGGGGTGCGGGTGGGGGTATAGAGGAGCAGCTAGGAAAGGGAGGGTGGGCGAGCGGGATGGGGGTTGAGGGTTGGTGGCATGGTGGGTGAGCGGGAGCGCCGCCGCTCGCAATCCCTAGAAGTTCTAGGATTGCGAGCCCCGGCGCCGGCTGCCCGCTGCGCCTGCGGAGCCTGCGCTCGCAATTGTTTGGAGCGCACATGCGTTGCTGATTGATCGCAATCATTCGCACTAGTTGATTACTGAGTTACTGATGCACACACTCCTCCAACACATATATCCGCCTCTCTCCAATGAGAGACGCCACGTCAGTGGCTGCGGCTCAGGTCAGAGGGCCCAGCGACTCGTCGGTTGGGTGTAAACGGGCATTGCCTGTGGTCTTCAACGCACAAAGGGTGTGAATAGAGCTCTCTTGATCCTTCTGAGCACGAAGACCACTCGAACTCTTCTGCAGACTTTAGTTTTCCCGGTGTTCATAAGCTGTGATACGAGCGTCACTTTGTACCCACCCCCCCTACTTCGTGGGGACCCCCCCGCCGGTCGGTGGTCTGCCCCCGAGGTGGACCGGACCCCCCCTCCGGTCGGTCGCTCTCTCGGCGGCGGGAGGTGTGACGACCGACCCCCCCCTCGGTCGGTGTCCTTGCCGTGAGCCCCCTGAAACGCTCTCCCTCCTTCTCGCGAACCGCCACGTGGGCGCTTCGAAATCGCCGGTTTTCACTATGAAAACTAGTCACGCAGCCAAGCGCCAAGGAGACTTCTTCGCCGAGGCCCGAGCGAGCCCGACCCCACACATGCATGTGGAGCATCTACGCAGTCGCAGGCCTGGTCCTGCTTGCCGTCACTTTGTACTCCAGACTTCTCCGCAGTACGCGCGCATCGTCCCTTCCGATGACTACGATGACTTGCCAGACTTGATCGACACATCGCCGCCGCCGTCACCGGGCTCATCGGCTTCCGAGAGTCGCCCAAGCGACAGCGAATGGCAATCGATGGACGCCGCTTCTGGAGCAACTCAGTTTAATCGCGACATGCTGCGCGTTGCGCGCGGGCAGAGCTATGCCGGCAACATGATCTGCCTCGCACCCGGTCTTCGCGTCTCCAAATTTCCCCTGGACCATGATGCCACCGTGTGCGGTGTGACGCTGTGACCCTCGAGCCAACCCGACCGACCCCCCCCTCGGTCTGCGCTCCGACCGACCGGACCCCCCCTTCGGTCTGCGGTATTCCGCGGCCGCCGACCGGACCCCCCCTGCGGTCGGTCGGTCTGCGCTGGGCGCTCAAACCGCGAAGTCGGCCTGTTCACTACAAGATGACGCTCGTATGAATAGTTTATGCGCCCGCCGCAGCCCGCCCTATCTATATTCACCACGGGCCACGAGAGCCCTGCAAGCAGCTGGCATGTTCTATCGCCCGGGTGGCGGGCTGTCTGCACACAGACGTCTCGTCCCATGGCTGACGCACGGATGGTCCGACCTGTGGCGGAGTTTGACCTCAGCTCGGCCGTCGGTGTCGGCGGGCTGACGGCGGCCGCCGGAATCGCGATTCGCTCTGCCAGCTGCCAGCAGCCTCGTGTCGCCGCTCTCGTTGGCGCAGCAGCAGCGATTGGCCTTTGCGCCGTCGCTCGACGGCGTCACCGCCCATCCGACCTGCGCAGCTCCTGCAGCTCCTGCTGTCAGTCTTCTGCTCTCACGCACTCGCCGCGCGCGGATTGTGCGCCGCGCCAAGCAGGACACGTGCTCATGCAAACAATGCAAGAACTTGGTTGCGCCGCTTAGTGGCGGCGCTGGTTTAGAGGAAGCGGCAGCGTGGGAAGCAAAGCAGATGGAGGCGGCGCGGCATGCCAAGGACTGCTGCTGGCGGAGGTTGAGCGGCTAAGTGCAGCAAGGGCCAAGGGCAAGAAGGGCAAGAAGAAGAAGAAGATGTGGGCGTGGGCGATACGGGCGCCGCTAGGCTCAACGAGGAGATGCTGTCCTGCAGTTAGAGAGCTCGTAGCGAGCTCGATTTTGATGAGAATTTGATGAGAAATATCTCAATTTTTGAGCAAAAACGCCAAAAAATCGGCGCCTGCGGCGGGCCGGGGCCTCCGGCGGCGCCTGCGGCGGGCCGCTGGGGCTTCCGCCCCAGACCCCGTTTACACCCGAGCTATGCCCCACGACCTGAGCCGGAGCGAGTGCCGATACTCGAGTTGTCAGAGACGCCGCCTCGCCCGGATCGCGCGCCGCCCCACACAAAGGGCGCCGCTCGCCGCGCGCTCAGTGCCGGTGGCGGGAGTTCGCGCAAGTGTTGATCACGACGTAGTTCGCGAGGCTCGGCCCCAGCTTGATGTCGTTGCGGCCGAGGCGCGGGTCGGCGTCGCGCGAGCGGACGCGCTGCAGCGGCGCGTCGACGGCGTGCGTGGTGAGGCGCACCTGAGGCGAGGTGGGGTGCCGGTCTCTCCACGCACACCGAGTCGGGTGTGTGTGTGTGGGGGGGGGGGCAAGGCCGCAGGTTGAGTGCAAGGCCCAGTGCGCGCGGCTCAGGCGCACCTCGCACTCATAACTCGACCACATCTCGGCTATACCTCGGCTGCATCTCGGCTGCATCTCGGCTGCAACAAGGCGCTCCTCGCACTCGTAGACGGACACCTCGCGCCAATGCATCGGGAACTCGGCCGCGGAGGCGGTGGTGACAAAGACGACGCCGCCGCGCGTCGCGATCGAGTTTGCGTGCACGTGGCCGTGCAGCGAGAGGCGGACGTGGTCGTACCGTGCCAGCAGCGCCAGCACCTCCTCGCGGTTGTCGATAAAGTCCTGCGCCGACACCGAAAGAGAATTTCGCCGAGATCCGCCGAGATCCATCGAGATCCGCCGAGGTGGCACTCCTGCGTCGGGTCGACCCAGCCGTCACCCGGCGGTTGCACGAGCAGCTGGTGCATCACCAGAATCACCGACTGGCGCGCGGCTGCCGACGCGTCCAGCTGCGCTCGCAGCCACCCTAGCTGCGTGGCGCCGATGTGGCCGCGGCCGTCCGAGTCGCTGTCGATACCGTCGGTGGCGTCAAGGAGCAGCACCCGCCAGGCGCGGGCGCAGACCGCTCGGTAGATGGTCCGCGCGTGGACGGTCGCATCGCAAGCGTGTCCCCAGGGCTGCGCCGCGTCGCACTCTCTGGACGCGTTGGCGCACATGGCCTTGCGCCATGCGCGCGTCCCCCCCCCCGAAGGGTGGATGTCGTGGTTGCCTGGCAGGTGGTAGACCGGCCAGCTCGTGCCTGCGGGAAGGGTCGGGGGAAGGGTCATGCAGGGCTCGGGCAGGGCGGTGGTCAGGCCCCGGCTCGTGCCTAGTACGGAGGCCTCGAGCGAGCGGTACAGCCGAAGCGTCGTCTCGAACTCGCCGCCCTCCTGCAGGAGAAGTCGGGCAAGGGTCGGGCAAGGGTGGAGGGGTGGCCTCGCCTCCCGCCGAGTGTGGTGGCGAGTGGTGTCCCATCTCCAAGCACGGCAGAGTGCAACGGCCCGCCTGCTGAAAGCTGCTGCCGCCGCAGACGGCATCGCCGGCGTGGACTGCAAAGTCGGCGCCGGAGGCTGCAAAGGCGGAAAGTTGGCGCAGTAGCAGCGGCAGCACCTCCTCGGCCGCGTCGACCACCAGCCCGTCGCGCACCGGCGCCGCCGCCACCCGCCGCATCCACGCCGATCGCGTCGAGGAGCGAACCCAGTAGTGGGTGTCGGAATAGACGGCAAACCGGAGCAGTGGCGGCCCATCCGCCGGGCTGGAGAGCTCGCGCGGCCGCAGGTGTATCAAGTGGCTGCCGGGACGCAGCCGGCGGCGCGACTTGACCTTGTGCAGCCGGCGGCGCATGGACCACTCCTGCGACTGGCCGTGAGCGGCGTCGTCCGCGGCGTGGCGATCAGCCTGCTGGTGGAGGAGGCACGCAGGGCCCAGGAAGCTGGCTAGCAAGAGGAGGCCGCAGCGATACGGCCGAGCCCGGGCCATTGTGTCCATGGGCGCCAGCAAGTCGGCGCGGGTGAAGTGGGCGGCACGACGGCGTGTACAGCTAAAATCGAAAATTTTCTTTTGTTTAAATTCTTTTCGCGTGAGGGCGGAGGGTATTCGCCCCCCTAGGTTGGAAGGAGATGAGGAAATGGAACAGCCCAAGAAAAGGAGCGGAACAAACACGTATGGGAGGGTAAAGTTGTGCGTCACGCTGACCTGATCAGTTATCACGCCTTATAGCAGATAGTTTTTTTTCGCGCGAACTTGAAAAGCACGTCTTGTCCTTTCGCCTGCGGAAACGTTCAGGGGCAGCGTGATCTTGTCCTCACAGGTCGACTGCATCGTGTATGCCACGCTCGCATCATGCCCATGCCCATTTCTGACACCGTCCTAGACATGCAACCCAACTCACACCGGACGAGAGCAACCAGTCGGACGTACTGACAGCTGCACCTGCTGCTCACACGCAGCTCAGCGCGCCAGTCCATGACCATGAGCACGTAGCACATGCCCCTCTCAGTACGATATGTGCGCCCACTCACTCACTCCGGCGCGCGTCCCCGGCAGCAGATTGCTGATATACGTGCTCAGTTGCCGTACACGGCGGAGAAGCAGCCGTCAGGGAAGACGCCAAAAGCGCGCGTCTTTTTGCTCAAGGTCCGCTCGCGAGGCTGGCGGAGCTCATTGGCCTTGGCGCTGCCGAGCCGGTGCGCGCGCTGCTGGGGGGGGTGGTTGGACGACATTTGCCCTGGCTGCGTCGACGCGCGCGGTCCGAGTCGCAAGGGCACGACGGTCGTGCCGTCATCACAAGTGCGCGTGAGGCCGAGCTGCCGCAGCTGCTTGAGGTCCTGCAGACGGAGGCGCACCGTCCCCCTGCACGAGAGTAACCACAGAAGCTCCCTGTCGAGCTCCTTCCGCTCGCTCGACGACAGCTTCGCCCCGCCTGCCGCTGCTGCCCCTCCCTCCCCACCCTCCCCTCCCTCCTCCCCCTCCTCCTCCTCCTCCCCCTCCTCCTCCTCCTCCTCCTCCTCCTCCTCCTCCTCCTCCTCCACCACCACCACCGCCGCCACCGCTGCCACCGTCGCCATCGGCGCTGTTCCCACCGCCGCCACCGCCGCCGTCGCCGTCACCACCACCGACGACGACGACGACGACGACGGCTGCGACGACGCCCCCGCAGCCGCTCCGGTCGCCGACCGACGAGGCATTGCCGTGAGCAGCGCCCTCGGGAGGTGCGCCATCCGCAGCGTCTTCAGGTCGCCGTCCGGCTCGCGCCGCTGCTCGCGGATCAGCAGCTGCGTGCCATGCCGGGCGAAGAAGCTGAGCGACGACCAGCCGTGCGGCTGACGGACCACGCGGCCGGAGCCAGCCGCGCCGCTGTAGGCAGCGTAGCCAGCCGAGATCGCCACATCAGAGATGGGCTGCACATTCGGCGGGCAAAGCTGCTTCGGCAGCAGCCACGGGTAGGCCTCGACGGTTTGGGCGAACGAGACGCGCCGCTCCGAGTCGCTGCCTGCGGCGACCGCGATCGAGCACAGCGCCGCCCGGACCTGCGGGCGGAACCTCGGGTAAGATATGCTGTGAGATCGCACCTGAGCTCAGCAGGGCTAGGCGTGCCTGCACGCGGAGGACCTCGACGTGGTAGCTCTCGACACGGCTCAGCAGCTCGTCGGTGCACTCGAACCGGTTGCTGATGTCCGCCGAAGCCTCCTTGAGGGCGGCGCGCACGTTGGAGCGAAGGTGGTCCTCCAGCTGCTCGAACGTCCACACGCACACTGTCTCCTTCTCAAACTGCAGGCGGAAGCGGACGGCTTGGAGCACCGTGTCGTCAGCCGCGAGGGCATCGAGCGATGCGGCGTTCTGCTCGGCGCGGATCGGCACCTGGCGCACAAGGGCGTCCAGGGCCTCCGAGGCGGCGTGCGTCGCGCAGCGCCGCTGCAGCGCCAGGGGCACGTCGCTCGAGCATCCGGGGCACGAGCAGCTGAAGCAGCGCATGTCGGTCGCCATGGTGCCCGCGGGATAGCCGCCGAACGGAGCCTTGGCGCCGCGGCCGCAGCCGACCGTGCCGCAGCGGTCCCCGCCGCCGCACCCGATGCAGCGCATGTCGGTCGCCGTGGTGCCCGCGGGATAGCCGCCGAACGGAGCCACGGCGCCGCGGCCGCAGCCGGCCGTGCCGCAGCGGTCCCCGCCGCCGCACCGGCTGCAGCGCATGTCGGTCGCCGTGGTGCCCGCGGGATAGCCGCCGAACGGAGCCACGGCGCCGCGGCCGCAGCCGGCCGTGCCGCAGCGGTCCCCGCCGCCGCACCGGCTGCAGCGCATGTCGGTCGCCGTGGTGCCCGCGGGATAGCCGCCGAACGGAGCCACGGCGCCGCGGCCGCAGCCGGCCGTGCCGCAGCGGTCCCCGCCGCCGCACCTGATGCAGCGCATGTCGGTCGCCGTGGTGCCCGCGGGATAGCCGCCGAACGGAGCCACGGCGCCGCGGCCGCAGCCGGCTGTGCCGCAGCGGTCCCCGCCGCCATGCTCGACGCAGAGCTTCCGCTCTCCCCAGCCGAAGCGGGGGTGCCTAGCGCCTCTCTTGCAGCCGTCCTTGCTGCAGCGGAAGGAGCCGCCGTGCTCCTTGCAACGGTCGGGGTGCTCGCCGCGCCTCTGCGCGCGTTTGAGGCAGTCGCCGATCACGCACAGCGCGTGATTGCCGCAGCGGCCCTCCTTCCGTGCCACAAAGGAGATCGTCGGGCAGCGAGGGCACTGCCGCCCCTCCTCGCGCGGCCGTTTGGCGCGCGCTTTCGGCCCCGCTGCGCTGCTCCCTCGCGAAGCGCTCGCCGCTGCGCTGCCCCCGCCCCCCCCACTGCTGCCCCCTCCCTCCACACTCAGCTTCAGCCGGCCCTCAGGGACGGTCGAGAGGAAGGTGCGGAGGCTCGTGGGCGGCGCCTCGAAGCAATTCCCTAAGTGTCAAACGTGCGCCCTCATCGCCCTCGCAGGGTCGCCGCGATCGACGCCTAGCCGCAGGAGCACGCGCCGTCCTCCGCCCACTGGAGCGCGACAGACCCAGCCGCAGCCACCTCGCCGTGAGACAGCTCTGCCTCGTAGAAGTCCTTCCAGGTCACCACGCCGTCCTCCACATCTTCCTCAAAGACTGCCCACACCCCCGAAGCCGCCGCCAGCTCACTCGGCGGTGGGATGCGGTCGAGAAGAACGACGGCATTGACGTTCACCCAAGAGGTCGGCGAGCCATCTTCCCACTCGACTCGTACTTCGCGAGCGCCCGCCCGCACCCGGCTGCCAGTAATGCAACCACCCCAGTAGCAGCCGTCGCGCTCGCTCCACGCTAGCACTGGCTCGCCGCCACTGATTGTCACATCCTGCGCGTGCGGAGAATGGGACGTCGGCAGCCGGGTGGTGGGGTTTGGCGGGCGAGGTGCGGCGCGAGCAGGCGCCGTGTGAAGGCACGAGAGTGTTGAGTGCGCGGTCTGTTTGTGTGTGCGGTAGTGCGGAAGAGCCTCGGAAGAGTCAGAGCTGCCGGCTGAGCTGTTTTCGCCGACGTGACCGCCTGCGCGAGTCAAACGGGCGCGGGATCGAGCTAGTCAGCGAGCGAAACGTGGATCAGTGCCGCAGCATAGAGGCCAGAGCCGCGGCAGGGGACGGTGCAGAGCACAGAGAGAGCACTGCCGGTGGTGACGATGGAGGCAAGGGCGGTGGCGGAGAGGCGGCGGCGGCGAGGAACATGGTGGGGGAGGCGGTGGCGATGATGGCGAGGCGGCGGCGTGGGCGGCGGGGGGGGGGCGAGGGCGGCGCCGAGGGCGTCGGCGGTCTGGGTAGCGGGATATGCGTATTCCCGCGCCC